TTCTTAGAAGAAATGAAGCAAATGTTTAAAATAAGAGAAAAATGATAACATAAAATGGAATAAGAGTGATAGAGGAAAGAATTGGAAAATAAATGAGAGCTTTGAAAGAAAGACTTGGAAAGAGAATGAACAGTTAAGCACAAAACGTATAAAACCATACCCAAGTAACAGACTCTTTGGAAATTAGAATGGCCCAAAAAGAAGTTAGTGACTCTACAAGATAATGAGAAATATTGAGACAAAGTCAAAAGATTGAAAAAAATAGAAGAAAATGTAAGGTATCCTACATAAAAAAAACATCTGATGTGTAAAACAAATCAAAGGCAGATAATTTGAGAATCATTGGGCTAGACTTCTGTGTTGAGTCAGCACCAATTTTTATACTAGCTCCCATGCTTTGGCAGGGCTGCACAACGAGACCTAGGGATGGTGCTAAGAGATCCACACTACACTTTCTTTGCTGCTGCTGCATTCTAAGCCAGCATATTCCCTGCTCCTGCCCTCACTAGAGCATTCTGTGGCAACAAGAAATAGAACTTAACCCTGTCCTTGCCCTTCCCCACCCCATTTTCTGTATGGAGGATGCAGAAGTATAGAAAATAGAAGCACGCTCTGCTGGGGCAGCAGCACAAGCACATTGCATTGCTGCAGTGCTCAGGCAGAGAACTAATGAATATCGAGAACTGGGGGAGGGCACCAGTGTGTTGTGGGGTTCCACCAACCCTGAAGTACAGGGATCAACACCAAGCTGAGGCCAATTCTGCCCCTCAAAAATCACTTGGGACAGCGACTGAAGCCAGCGAAAAATGAATTTCTAGAATTCATTCTTCCCCAGGGAAGAGGCTGATACAGCTGTAAAATCCAGCCTTTGAGGGATCCATCATCAAAGGGGAGGAAATTGGAAAGTGAGTGAGAGGAAAATACGAGGAAAAAAGAACTCAAATTGCCAAAGATCTCAGGAGGAAGAAAACAGAGAAATCTTGAGTATGAGCAGATTAAAGCCAACAGAAAAGATATTAAAGCAGAAAGGAATGTCCTTCAGAACATCTAAAAATCTAAACAGTCCAAACATCTCTAAAAAATATTGCAAGACAAAGTAAAATGAATCAACATCTGATGAGGCAGAGGACTCTTTGGATTCCCGAGACAGAATTTAGACACAGCAGGATGTTCTTAAATGATTCAAGAGAAAAATAAAAATCATGAAAGCAGAATTTATGTCCTACATAGCAGAAACAATTTGCAGAATAGAAAAACTTGAATCCACAGTGGTGAATCTCTTCAAAGACACAAAAGAGAAAACAAGTGGTTGGGAATACAAATATACAGAAGTAAAGGATACTATAGAAGAAGAAAATTAAAAAGTCAAACAGGATATTACAAGCAAAACATATTAGTTTGAAGTCAAAATGTGTAGCAATAACTTAACTAGAAGAACATGACAAGTCAAAACAATCTGAACATCATAGTGTAAGAAATAATACAAGAAAACTGACCAGAACTGAACACAGAAAACAAAGGTGCCAATTGAAAGAACCCACAGATTGCCTCCAGGAAAAGACAAACAAATGAACAAACAATTATTATCTCCATTTTATAGTTGAGAAAACTGAGGCAGACAGAGGTTAAGTAGCTTGTCCAAGACCACATGGCTAGTAAGTATCTGAGACCAGATTTGTATTCAGGTCTTCCTGACTCTAGGACAACCTCTCTATCTATTGCACTAGACTGTGAGCTTCTGAAGGACAGGGACTATCTTTTGCCTTCCTTTGTATCCTCAGTGCATAGCATAATGCCAGGCACCTGCTAAGTGCTTAAGAAATGTTTATTAAATTACATACTACATCACCTATACAGAAGTGATGGGCATAAGATGCATAATATACTTTTATACATGCAAATCAAAGCAACCCTGAGGTTTTACTTCTCACCCTTGGCAAAGAAAGTTGGCAAGAGATGACAAGAGGGGCAGCTAGGTGGTGCAGTGGATACAGCCCCAGCCCTGAAGTCAGAAGGACCTGAGTTCAAATCCAGCCTCAGACAAAACACTTGACACTAGGTGTGTGACCCTGGGCAAGTCACTTAACCCCAATTGCCTAAAAAAAAAAAAAGATGACAAGAGATGAGAATAGTCAATACTGGAAGAGTTGTGGGAAGATAGGCTCTGCCATTGTAGGTAGAACTGTGAATCAGTACATCCATTTTGGAAAGTAATTGTGAATTATGCAAATAAAATCACTAAAATGCCCATGCCCTTTGACCCAGAGATTCCATTACTACCCCCAGGAGATCTTTAAGAAGAAAGTCATCATATACATAATATTTATAGCAGCACTTGTTTCAATTAATTAATTAATTAATTAATGTTTAGTTTTCAACAATCACTTCCATAAGCTTTTGAGTTTTAAATTTTTCCCCCTCCCTCCCCAAGAAGGCATGCAATCTGATATAGGCTCTACATATATATTCCTATCAAACATTTTCACATTAGTCATATTGTAAAGAATTAAAACCAATAGGAGGAACCACAAGAAAGAAGAAACAAAACAAAACAGAAGAAGAAAAAGGAGCAAATAGTATGCTTAAAATCACATTCCAACTCCACAGATCTTTCTCTGAATTTGGATAGCATTTTCTATCATGAGACTTTTGGAGATGTCTTAGACCCTTGCATTGCTGAGAAGAGCTAAGTCTATCAAAGTCAGTCATCGCACAATGTGGCTGTTACTGTGTACAACATTCTCCTGGTTCTGCTCACTTCACTCAGCATCAGTCCATCATCAGCACTTTTTGCAACAACTATACCATCTTAATAAATATATTTTTCTAAAAGTCAATTGTCTGGCTGACTAACTGATATCAGTAGATACCTTGGGAAGAAGCACACCAGTGTGGGCTTGTGAACTATTGAATTGAAATACATCTCCCCAGCCTCTCAGAGCTACCCCTCCCCTGTGGGGAAATGTAGTATCATGTGAGTTAAGATGTAACATGATGCCTGCCAATGTGTGAGTTGAAAGAGTAACCACAGAATATCTATGTGCTACTCTTACAATAAATAAGTTTGGTTGAGCCAAATAATTCAATACATTGACCATGTGTGAAAATATATGCTCTCATTCTGCACCAATCTTCTCAAATTATGATTGGTATTGGTTGGAGTTCTATAATCCTTCAAAGTAGTTTTCCTTCATATTATTGTGGCATAGTAAATTGTTTTCTTCCATTTGCAAGAATTCTATATACATTTCATTCTATATCACTTTATACATGTCCTCTGTATGCACTTTATACACGTCCTGTTGGGTCTACTGGCCTCCCACTTCATAGTTCTTCCTCACCAGTCATAGTGCTCATGTGATATCACCATTCTGTGTACTCCAGGCAACTTTTGGAAGATGCTCTCACCCCTAAGTATTGTGGGAAATAAAGACCTATAAAACACACTCTTTACATAAATGCAGGATAACTTGAGAAAGGAGAATCACAAATAGCTAAGGGGAGGAAGGAAAAGAGGAGGTTAAGGCTTCTTATTGGAGGTAACACCCTGAGCTGTAACTTTAAGATCTCTAAGAGGCAGAGGTGGAGGGAGTATATTCTAGGAATAGAGGGTAACCTCATAGGAGATGGAATGCCAAGGACAGGAAACAGCAAGTAGGTCAGGTTGGCAGGAGAGTATAGAGTATAAAAGAGAGTAATGTGTGATAAGTTTATTAAGGTAGGATGAAGTCAGACTGTGAAGAACTTTAAATGACATTTTGAGGAGTTTGCAATACCTTGAAATCATCCTATTACCGTCTGTTGGTCTCCTTACTTCTAGCCTCTTCCCTCTACAATCTGTCCTCCTCATATATCCCAAACTGATATTCCTAAACCATGTCATTCCTGCTCAGAAATCTTCAGTGGCTCCCAATTTTTGTTAGAATAAAACATAAAAACCCTCAAAACAGTTAAGGTCCTCTGCAATCTAGCTTCCACTTACCTTTCCAATAATTTCATATTTTTGTTGTTGTTTAGTCATGTCTGACACTGTGATCCCATCTGGGGTCTTCTTGGCAAAGATACTAGAGTGTTTTGCCATTTCCTTCTCCAACTCATTTTACAGATGAAGAAACGAAGGCAAACAGAGCGAAGTGATTTGCCCAGGATCACACAGGTGGTAAGTGTCTGAGACCAAATTTGAACTTAGGAAGATAAATCTTCCTGACCCCAGGCCCTGTGCTCTATCCACTTTGTCATCTAGCTGCCCTTTGTTTATTCTCTGTCTCTGTCAAACTGATCTGCTAGCTCTTCCGTGTACATACCATTCCATTTCTTACCTCCATAACTTTCTTCAGGTGGTCTTCCATATGTGGAATGCACTTTCCTCATCCCTACCTTACAAAATTTCTAATTTCCTTCAAAGCACTGTTCAGATTCTTCTTGAAATTATTTTGTATTACTTTGTATATACTTAAAAGTAATCATATACATATGTAAGGACATACAATGTGTATGTCCTTGTGTACTGTATTTCTCCAATAAAATGTAGGCTCTTTGAGGGTAAGTACTGTTTTTTTTTTGTCTTTAAGTCTACAGTACCTAGCACATTACCCTGAATATAGTAGTTTAAGAAGTATTTGTCGAATTTAATTCTTGTAGAATGCTGTTGTTTCCTTAAGTTTCACACCTAAACTATTCCATTTTCGTTTGTTTTTGTTTTTGTTTTCTCCCTCTTAAAATCATGGGATTTGAGACTTGGAGTTAGCAGGAGAATGGGTTTGGGGAGGGCCTGGCTGGTTGGGTTAGAGACTCAATGCTAAGAAAGGCCCTACTAGCACTTCTCATCTCCAGACAACATCCATCCCTTACTGGACCACTGCGTAATCTGTTCTTGTTCTTATATATACATATATATATATATATATATATATATATATATATATATATATATATATATACATATATATATATGGGAAAGAAGGGGGGAAACAGAGAGAAGCAGGAGGAAGAAAGCCTACAGGGGAGGGACAGTCGAGGGCGGGGCGGGGCAGAGAAAGAAGGGAGGCCAGAGCCCTGGGCGGCGGCGGGGGGCGGGGCTGGTCCACACGTCCCAGCTGCGGCGGCAGAGCCAGCGCGCTGCAGAACCCCAGTCCGCGGTCTCAGTCTGGAGGGTCACATCCTGCTGCAGGGAGCGGCGGAGCGTGGCATCTCGGCATCGCGCTCCGCACTGGGGAGCAGAGCCAGCATCAGGACCCGCAGGGAAGGAAGGAAGCGAAAGAACGGGAGAGCGAGAGAGTGGAGTCCTCTGAGAGCCCACCGGACCAAAGCCCAGCTTTCAAAGACAAGGGCTTTGCATCAAGCCCTTAGCTCCACGGACCGGGCCCTGCACCGCCTTCCTTGCCGGGCCTGGGCTGGCATGGGGTAGGGGCAGCGCAACGGAGCTGAGAGATGGGCCGCTCCCTAGGCATAGAGCGGCCCCGTAGGCTCAGAGCGGCCTGACCGTCGGAGACTCTGGGGCCCAGCAGGTGGGTGTGGGCAGGGCAGAGGCGTGTTCAGAGGTGTAGTTAGTGGAGCTGCTATGTGGGTGTGGGCGGAGCTTACCTGGGGGCTCTCGGGGGTTGTGGTGGACATAGCATTGGGGAGCCTTCAGAGGGGAGGTTGGGTCGCATCTTGGACATTGACTGCTGATCCTATTTGCGGGCATTCTTTGATACCCAGGACTTCTGACACCTGCAGGAGCCCCTAAACTGGCTGGATTGAGCAGATGATGACCCAGTGCCCCCAAAATGGACTCTGTGGGGGCAATGGTTTCACTGATTCCACTGACCCCATATCTAAGCCCTACAGTCCTACTGCTGGTCAGCTGTGACCTGGGGTTTGTCCGAGCAGGTAAGTTGAGTGAGGATGGGAAGGGTCAACTAGAACCTACTCTATAGGTTGTCATATTTACTTGTCATTTTGTTGGCACAGATCGGCCTCCTTCCCCCGTGAATGTGACTATCACTCAGCTCAAAGCCAATTCAGCCACAGTGTCCTGGGATGTTCCAGAGGGCAACATTGTCATTGGCTACGCCATCTCCCAGCAAGTATGAATCAGCCCTCTGGCCCCTCCTTTCTTCAGATTCCCCTGCATCCCCCTCAGGCTCTCCCCAAGTTGGGGAAATACTGGAGTAGGTATCTCCCATAACAAGCCTCCTTTAATGAGAACTCCAACACTTTCCCCCCATTTATATATCATTCTCCCAATACAGGCTGTATATGATCCCTGAGGGGAATATTATAACCAGAACCAGGAAGTGTCCTGTGTTCAGGGTCCTATGATCTACCACTCTTTTCTGCCACCACAGAGACAGAATGGACCTGGACAGCGGGTAATCCGAGAGGTGAATACGACAACTCGAGCCTGTGCCCTTTGGGGTTTGGCTGAAGATAGTGACTACACCATACAGGTCAGGAGCATTGGTCTTCGGGGGGAGAGCCCCCCTGGGCCTCGGGTCCACTTTCGAACTCTCAAGGGCTCGGACCGACTGCCCTCAAACAGTTCAAGCCCAGGTAAGAGCCTGACCTGTACTCAAGATGCTCTGACCCTTACCTAACCACTCAACTTACCCAAGGCAAGTAACTATCCTAGATAAATAGAAAGAAGGGTGATTGAACTAATTATGCTACCACTGTATCTCTAAGGGAAGGCAGACTGGGAGGGAGGGAAAAAAGAAAGGGCTGGTAATTTGGAAGAGCGATTTTTGCAAGGCAACCTTAACCTGACCTCCAGCCCACAAAGCTTCCATCCCAAGTAAAAACCTGACTTTTTGCCCCACCTCAACTGTCTGATGCCTTGATTCCCTGACTTTCCAATCTCTCTGTCCACAAATCAGCCATCCTTGGGGAGAGGATGACCTACAATTTGAGCTCAGTGGCTGTGAATCTATCCCTCATTCTATTTCCCAGCTGTGCTTTCCTTAAGTGCCTTTTAAAATAAAGCTTCCTAGCTATCTCCTTGGTAATCCTTTAGGCCCTGTATGTCCTCCTCAGGTGACATCACAGTAAAGGGTCTGGATGGAGAGCGTACCTTGCAGACAGGGGAAGTGGTCATTATCGTGGTGGTGTTGCTCATGTGGGCAGGTGAGCAAGAGGTTTGGAAGAAAAAGGGTCAGGGTTGATTGAGAACTACTTTAGGGTGGGGTGGCAATTAAAGAGAGAGGGGGAGAGAAGATGGGGGGGTGGTAAATAGCACTGGGAGAAGGGGGACAACAATAATTACTTGAATTTCTAGAGCACATTGAGATTTTCAAAGCACTTCCCTCACAACAAACCCATAAGGTAGGTGGTGAAAATAATATTGTCACCCTTTTACAGATGAAGAAACTGAAACTCTTAGAGGTGAAGTCACTTGTCCAAGGTCACAAGCAAGGGAAAAAGAATGAGGGTTGGTGAATTTAGGTAGGGTGGAAGGGAATCTGGAAATAACTTGAAGTTAGGGAGGGGATGCTAATGAGAGTTTATTGAAAAAAATCAAGGGGGGAGGACTTTGTAAGAAGGAGGCAAAGAGGAAAAGATCAGACTACCTGGGATTTATAGAAGTTTTGTGTGTATGTGTGTGTGTGTGTGTGTGTGTGTATGCATGTGCACACATAGTAATGGTGGATAGAAGGATCCAAAATTGGGATTATGGAAAGAGTAAAGTATCTTGATGTTATTACAGCTGTGATCGGACTATTCTGTCGTCAGTATGACATCATCAAGGATAACGACTCCAACAATCCCAAGGAGAAGGGAAAGGGGCCAGAGCAGAGCCCTCAAAGTCGGCCAATGGGGGCCAGACAGGTGATGTGGGAGTTAGGAACTGAAGAAGGTTGGAAGGGTGGGTGCTTTAGCAAAGATCTCCTCAAGTAGCCAGCAAGACCCAGATAAGTGAAGGGGAAACCAAAGACAACAGAGAGAGAATGGAATGGCTTGGAAGAGTGGAAGGGAAGTAGGTACATGGAGTAGGAAAAGAGAGAAAAGGAACTGTATCCCTAAGATTCTTGAATGATTTCAGAGCCTCAAGCATAATTTTCCATTACAGAAAAAGTCACCATCCATTAATACCATTGACGTCTGAAAGAAATGGAGCTAAAAGAGAGAGATGGATTGGGAATGATAATAAAATACTCAGATGATCATCCATCCAAGACAGAAGGATCCTACCCACTTCCTTACAGCTGAACCAGAGGGGATAACTAGCATTCCTACACACTCAAACCTGCCTCCTATTCCCCTTTCTCACTGTAAGCTGGGTCATGAAGGCTTGGTAGGGAAAGCTTTCCTAGACCTGGAGAGTGAGTGAAAAGTGAGAGAAGTCCCCAGTGTTCCAGGTCCTGAGAGAAGTGACTTGTCTAAATTTATCTCATGAAGACCAAGAAAGCAAATGACCTACTTCACCTGCATCAGGACTGTCAACATCTTTAGCTGCCTCTAAACCCAGCCTCTGTCCCCAGGACTCAAATGGGGGTCTTTCTGTGGGCTCTGGGCAGGGGGGAGGGACTGTTGGGGCCCACGGATCAGATACCATGCTGCACTAATCTAATGTCTTCCATGAAGCCTGAGGAGCTTCATTGCTTCATCAGGCAGCCTCCAAGAGCTGCTGGTGATCACACCCTTGGGCGTTTTTACAATAAAAGGTTCTTTGAACAAAGTAAGTTTTCTATGTGACTACTGGAATTTCCCCACCTTTTTCTATATGACATCCTAATTCAAGACTGCCCCCCCATCATACTGGCTCCCAGGCTTCCTGTATCAAATGTTCTATTTCTTTACCACGAGCTGGAAAAGGGTGGAGAAAATACAGGAGGAATGGGTATAGGGAGTCCCTAGCTCCAGTTGTTTTAAATTCAAGCATTTTATTGAGCACTTTGTATCTTACTATGAGTTTGGTACTCTGCTAGGTGCTGGAGATACAAAGACAATGCCAAAAATCTGGGGAGAAACAATGTGCCCACAGAAGTATATACAAAACATAGGATAAAAATAAAATTTCTGGGGGTTGAGGCAGGGCACTAGCAAAATTGGCAAGTGTGTGTGTGGGGAGGAAGAGTGGTATCAGCATAGGTTTTAAGAAAAAGATGGTGATGGGACTTGAATTGAGCCTAGAAGGAAGCTAGTGATTGTAATAGAAAAAGGTGAGTTTAGGCATAGGGACTCAGTGATAGAATGCCCTATATACACAGGGAATAGCAAGTAGGTTGGTTTAGCTGCATAAGGACCTGAAAAGGTATGCAGGAGCCAGACTGTGAACACTGGAGATTTTATTTTATCCTAGAGACAACAGAAGCTATTGGACTTTTCCTGCTCGAGTGTGGGAGGGATGTGGTCAGACCTATGTTTTGGAATTTCAGTTTGAGGGAAACCACTTAGGATTCTATTGCAATAGTTCCAGAGAGAGATGGATGAGAGCCTGAATGAATGTTGTGGCTGTAAAAGTGGAAAGAATGGCATCAAAAGATACTATGAAAGTTGAATCAACAAAACTTGCCTGTTAATTGGAAACAGTGATAGGAAGAGTAGAGAATGACTGGGGTTGGGAATCTGGGTGACTGGAAGGATTTGCCTTCCATAGAAATGGACTTTAGGAAGAGAGGAGGGTTTAGGGAGAAAGAGAATGAGTTTTGTTTTTAATATTGCGAATTGAGATACCTGTGGGACATTCAGTTGGAAAGATCTAATAGGAGACACATGAATGAAACTTGGAAAAGACCTAAATTCTCCTGATTATGGTCAAAACAGGGTAGTTATAACACATCAATTAACATTACTCAAAAAAAAAAAGTCTCTACTATGTGGCAGGCACTGTACCTGATGACAAAAATGAAACTGCCCCTGTCCTCAATAGGGTAGGACGGAGGAGGAGGGTTCATACTATTACCAATAATACCTTTTATATCTTCCCTGCCCACAGTCTAAATGAGAACTGTCCACTTTTGCCTCTTGTGATACCCCTGCTGCACAGGGACAGGTCTCAGCAAAGTTATGTTGGTCAGTCCTCCCTAATGATCCTTGATCATCTCTTCAATAGAAGTGGGACTATCCCAGAATCTGTTCACCCCTTTCTAAACATTTACCTCCTTGCCTCTAGCGGGACTCAGGCAAGGATAATACTTTCTGTATGGAGTCTGTACAGGTTTAGTGCTCAAATGTTCAAGACTCATTAATAAAGAAAAACTTAAATGGAGTCATGTTCAGATTCTGTCTGGAACAAGGTCCTGGAAGCAGAACTAAGGCCATGGGTTATTTTTGCCCAGTGAAACAATGTGACCCTGATCTAGGTTATTTTCTTTCTGGGCCTAATTTTCTGTGAAAATCATGGCTGTGCTCTGTACCCTCCTTGTTTCTTCCCATGAAAATGAGAGAAATCCTGGATAGCTGCTCTACTAGCAAACTAACCCAGAGGCTGAAAGTTTCTAAGATGCAGACTTCTGCCCTGAGAATTTCTGCCCCTCCCAGCCTCATTCTCTTCCTTCTGGAAGCTTCAGAGCCTTCTAATTCCCACAGAGGTGACTTTTGTAATCACCTTTCCCCATTTCTGTTGCTAACTCTGGGTAAGAAACAAGAATTCCAGAACACAAGAATAGGTGGAAAGGGCACTGGAGTCTTTAGCTAACAGATCTAGAATTGGAAGTGACCTCAGGGGTTATCTGGTCCCATCCCTTCATTTTACAAGGAGGTTAA